TACAGCTCTCACTCTCTACATATACAGCTCACTCTCTTATATGTAGAGAGTGAGAGCTGTATATGTGAGAGTGAGAGCTGTACATATACAGCTCTCACCTCTACATAGACAGCTCTCACTCTCTACATATACAGCTCTCACACTCTACATATACAGCTCTCACTCTACATATACAGCTCTCACTCTCTACATATACAGCTCTCACTCTCTACATATACAGCTCTCACTCTCTACATATACAGCTCTCACTCTCTACATATACAGCTCTCACTCTACATATACAGCTCTCACACTCTACATATACAGCTCTCACTCTACATATACAGCTCTCACTCNTGGGATTATCACTTCTTTAACGCAAAATTAGCTTTTGAAATTTCAACTGTGACTTGTGCCTCATAAATCAGCATGTATAGATTCTATAAGCAACCCGCAGTCAAATTCTTTCTAACAGACACGTCAACATCCATTGTTGAACCCTCGTTGAGGTAGGGGGAGGGGGAGGGGTAGGGCGGAGGGGGTGAGGAAGGGGTGGGGGGAGGGGTGGGGCAGGGGAAAGGGGAGGGTGAGGAGGGGGCCTCGAATAGCAAAGCAGTTCACTCTGTTGTTACAGTCAACAAATCCATGTTTAACCCTCTCTTGAGGGTCAAAGAGGTTATCCGACACTTACTCTTCGCATGGCAGCAGAAGGGACTTTCAATGCGTCCTTTCATAAAGCCAGGTGAAAAGGGCTAGGTACACTCGCTGAACAAAGGTTTTCAATCGCTCGTCAGACATGTCTCTCAGAAATGTCTAAATCGGGGCCTGTGCATTTGCTTTGAACTGTGACCTCATTTTAGGCACAGTCATGGCTTTTCTACATGATGCTATACACGACTAGTCAACGAGCCTAGTCGAGCAGTTTGATTTGTGCGGCAATATGCATCTCCGACCTCTTTTTCAGGCCCCCCTATACCTTAGTTAAGAGTGAATGTTCCCCTTCCTTTTCCCTCTTGACCTTTGACCTCTTGACCCCGAGCTTCGACGCCAAGCTCTTCTTGACGAATCCCCCCCGACGTCCCGAATATCGTGACCGTACGTCGAGCGTTAGATTTTGCTGCCCAACTGTTGACGCACGGACGACGCGACGCACGGACGCGACGGCCGGACGATCAGCGGATTCTCAAGGCTGCAGCTGGACTGAGGGTCAGATAGAGCTAATAAGAAGAGGTTCGATGCAAGAGTAGGTCACGTAAGGCTGTTGGATGGTTACAACGCCGAGTTCTGCAGGGGGGCGGAATCTAGCGTTTCAGAGAGACGACAGGTGTTGATATGATATTTTGAGTAAAGGGGTTGCAGAAGGCCACGCGGTGCTAGGTGGTCTGGGATGCCATGTCCCCCTCCCACCTAGGAAAATTTCAGGAGCCGCTGTGTCACAGGGAAAATTGGGACGGCCTTGCAGATTGATTTTTTTATTGTTTGGCCCATTTTACTAGCTATGCGATTTCCCCTCAGTCAGGGACTGAACAGGGGGGTTGGAGGTGGTCGCCACAGCTCTGACACAGATGTCAAACAACGTTTTAGCCGCAAATTGTCAGCATGCGCTGGTAGAATCGCGATGATCGCGCCGTCGTCCCTTCCCCCCCGTCAACAGTTGCTAAAATCTTAACGTCTCGACGTACGGCAGCGGTGTCGGCACTAGATTGGGCGGAATCGTCAACGAGCTTGGGGCTGTGCGAAGCTGCGGGGTCAAAAGGTCAGAAGGTCAAAGAGGAACTGGTATAACAAAAGGCGATGGGAACATTTCACTCCTTAATTAAGTATGGGAGGAAATGCAGAATTGCGGCCACCCAATCTCAAGCGGTCGAGGGACTAGAGTCGTGATAAGTCGGATGTATGCATCATGGTAGGGAAAGCCCTCCACTGTGCCGAACATTGGATTAGTGGTTTGGTCACCAGTCAAAGGTACAATGTGGCACGACGGCATGATTTTAGACAGTTTCTGGAGGACAATGGTGTCTGACCGGGCGATTGGAAACTTTTTTGTGTCACCGGGGACTACATGTTTTGATGGCATTATTGAAAGGCACATTTGAAGAATTACTTTCTGCGTGACATGCGAAGAACGGTAAGTGTCACATAACCTTTGACCTCAAGAGGGGGGTAAATCGGTTTTGTTGACTGTTCTGTCTTCAAAGATTTGACGGCCGGTTTGCTAGTAGATCTATAATGCCTGGCATGTACATGAGGTACAAGGTCACAGTAAATTCAATAGTCTAATTTGGTTAAGAAGGGCTTATTGCCTCCTTAAATCGTTATATTGTATACGGCCATCTGGTAACTGTCATATGGCTTACATGTACGATATTGCCACTGTAGGTGGCTAGGCCATTGCTGTGTTTGCATGCGTCTACTGGGGAGGTTTTGCCTTAATTAGGTTACGGGTGCAGCTTCTATTGCGACAGCCATGTGGCTTGCCGTAGTAAGGGATGAGTGCGTATCCTATTCTGTCTTGCAGCATAGTATGTTGCTACTAGCGAATATGATGGGCTTCCATCTTTAATCTGAAGACACTTAACGTTACGCGGATCTCGTGGCAACTTTGCATAACGATACCACGCCATTCTTTTGAGAAAGGTGCTGATACCATTCCCTGTGCATTCCACTGTTTCGGCGTGTATGTGAACACATTGGGGACTAAACAGGGTTTACTAGAACTCCCACCACTCCACCACAGAGTCGACCGCGTAGACGTTAGATTGAGAGCCGCTGGTCGCTGGCTGCGGGCACTTTGTTCAAATCCCACGGATTTGTGAGAACGAGGCTTTATTGAACGGCATTCATATCACGTGTCTTCATAAACACCCGCCCACCCCTGTCAGAAAAGATGTGTGTACTAGAGTATCATCAAAAAAAGATCTGCATCAAATGGTAGTTGAGATGAATCTCACGGTGATGCAGTTGACTGGTGCGAGATGAAGACATTAACATGACCGTATTGCACAGTGACAAGGACTGGCGATCTCTTGTGTCGGCGGAGAAGTGTACGTACTTTCGAAAACTGCAACATCAATCAGACAGAATGTTGACTTCAGGTTGTCGTATGGTTGGCAGACAATGAAAATACACCTAACTGCTATACTGAACTGCAAAGCTATTGCTGGCTATTAGCCTGAAAGTTTACTATGTATTTTACTCGAATGCCCTTGTTGAGTTAGTCAGATATTAAAAGTGCGACTCGCATGTATATAAGCATGGTTCGAGCATGCATAAGTAAATATGAATTAGAAATTTTGTCTAAGCCAATTACCTATGGTCCGATCCATGGATAATTCGCTTCATCATTTTCTATGCAGCAGTCTCCAGAGATGTGTGTATCTTCAATACCCTCTGATATAAAATAATATATATAGATGATTAACATTATATGAAGCTACGGTTAACACCGACGCAACCGACACATTGCCAGCACCTGGGTGAAAATGGATTTAGAGAAAGCTCGAGGCAGGTTTGTGAATTTGTGGCATAAATGAAAGTAGGGAAAATTTTCGATAATGGGTTTCATTAGCTTTACTAACCTTTCTTAATACCTTACTGTATGGTGGCCTTTCAACTTTATTAATCATCAGCAGGTGATTGGTATTGTGTTCTCTATCCAGAACTCTGGGGTAGATGAAGGCCAGGATGGCGTCGTAGGTGCCTGACAATGAAGTCAGCGAGTTGACATCTTAATTCAGTAGAAAATAAATGAATATACGGATATGTTAGACTTCCCAAATAATGGCCATGCTACGCTTTGAGCGATGCTTACTAAGTTTGGGGAAGATTTCGTTCGATGTGAGAAATGTGAGAGATCAAGGGTCTCAATCATTTACGTTTGAATGCTAGTGCACAGCATTATTCAGATTTATGTTCGTTATGGCGTATAGATTTGGAGGGCATATAGCGATATGACAAGGATGAACGAAAGCAACTGATTACGATCCTGTATAAATACACCTTTGCAGTTCCAAGCAGAAAACACCGCGCCCATTTACACTCACCGCAAGAACGACGCAAGTGGGACTTCTCATCACCGACATTTACCACCGCTGTACTACAATGACTACTATAACTAGACGACCATCACGGTCGCTTTTTCGGACCTCTTGCTAGTATGAACTCCGTATGTGGAAGCGTCGATCGGTTACGGCGTCCTGTCGAAGGGAGGGAAGCCTCCGTATATTCCTTAAATCGTATAATTTCTATGTCATTCTGTACTGTCAGTATGTTACAACTTACATGTCACGTATGCCACTGCCAGTGGCTGTGCATGTGTTGGGGCAGTTTTTGCCTGCATTAATTGGTTACAGGTGGCAGCTCTCTATTGCAATTTGCAGCCTGTAGGCTTGCGTAGGTAAATGGATGAGTGCTTACCTAGATTCTGTCTTGCAAATAGTTGTTGCTACTACGAATGATGGGAGCTTCCATCTTTAATCTGAAGAAACTTAAACGTACACGCCATCCAACGAACATCTTTTGAGAAGGTTCCTGATACCATCTCTGTGCATTCCACTATTTCGGCGTGTATGTGAACACATTTGGGACTAACAGGGTTTACTAGAATCCCACAACTCCACCACAGAGTCACCGCAGTAGACGTTAGATGAGCGCTGTCGCTATGCGGCACTTGTGTAGTTATAGGTTCGAACGTCAGACACGGTTCTGTTTCTGTATACTTTGTAGCAATTATTCATCGAAAAACGCATAGAAAGCACTTAGCGATAGTTTTAAGGATAATGACGTTATAGCCTTCTCCATGTAGTTTTCGGACGGCCCCTTCCCCGTTGACCTTGTGGGTTCTAGATTTGCGTAAGGTGTGGCCAATCCACCTCCACTACATTACTCTAATTACATTTTGTAGCGTCGATAGCTTTGCGAAATGTGAAATGCTGTACCGCGTATGTAGAGAATGATGAATTTAAGTTGATAATCTGTTGTTGACACATGTACATCATATTCAGAGAGTCGGACAAGTATGATTTCAATACAACATGTAATCATTTATTGATTATACTACATCATACGTAACAAACAACAAACATAATACGTGACGTCTGATCTTGTAAGTAACATTGACTGTTTGTACTATCGATTAAGCGATTAATGACGTTGTTGCATGCAGGTCGGGTATGGAGTCATCACCTGGAGCCATCGCGACGTAGCCGAGCAGTGTGAGGGCGCCGCGGCTGCCGACCTACCAACGGTGCATCCTCGACAACCTGCTGGGAGAGGTAAGTGACCTTTGTATTCTCCTTGCCTTGGAGGAGGAGGTGATAGAGGGAGGAGGAGGAGGAGGAGGTGATAGAGGGAGGAGGAGGAGGCGATAGAGGGAGGAGGAAGGAGGAGGAGGAGATAGAGGAGGAGGTGATAGAGGAGGGAGGAGGTGATAGAGGGATGAGGAGGGTCTCCCTTCCGCTCTCTCCTCCTCCTCCTCCTCCGCCCGCTCCCTCCCTCTCTCCCGGCAGATAGGGAAGAGAGACGAGAGGAGAGAGAGAGAAAGGCAAGGAGAATACAAAAGTGACTTACCTCTCCCAGCAGGAGGATGAGCAGCAGCTACCAGGTTGGAGACAGGGATCCACGCGCAGTCCTGCCAAGAGATAATAATAAAATGTAATAAAATAATTAAATAACAAAAATTTCCACGACTGTATAGAGATATATGTACATGTGAGTTTCGTGCTATAGTTAATGCAGGAAATCAGCGACTCGACTCACTCACTCTTTCTCCTCACTATATTGTTGAGCAGTTCCCGCTTGGTCTTGCTGCTAACGAAGATGACAGATGCAAACCGATTACACACCATGCCTGCGGAAGAGGAGAAAGACTGAATGACACCACAACATGTGAAATGACAATAAAAACTAAATTGCTACGATCAAACATTCTATGGACACCAGGGAATAATTTTCCCGGTATCGCATCGCAATTCGCGATGTATTTTCAGCCATTTGCTACGCATATTTTTTTATGAATCGCATCATGAGGGATATTTATTTGCAAGGTAAGATAATCTACTTCTAATGCATCATTTGATAAAATCTTCTCTGATAAAATAAAATATATCAAGAATGTCTTACAGTGAGTACGATGCTGGATCAGTCTGTAGTATCCTGTATGTAGCTTAATGATTATAAGCATCCATATTTATATTAATTTACATATATGATGAGACAGTACTAGTATTGTATGCCCTTGTAATGTGTTCGCAACTATGGAGCAGTATGAGTGCATCTGAATACTGTCTGGATAAATTACACATTTGGCAATTTTGCAGTAAAATTTGAATAACTAAATTTCATCTTTTTAATTTCATTTTTGTGTTCAGAAAATATTGCTAAACCTTTTCAATTCCAATTTCAGTGTATGTAAATATAAGACGTATATACACTCACATATCACTTAAATCTCAACTTGTGTGAGACCAGTTACTTGGTGACATTGTAATATAAGACACCGGTATATATGTACTGATGTATCAAACTCGCAACTGAACTGGTGTGAACTGTGAAACTGGTTACTGGGGTATATTGAAATGAACACAGGACCCTATCACAGCTTTGCTTAACGGATCTCTAAAAATGTGTAACCATTGCCCCACAATCAAGAAAAGTTGAAAAGAATTGATAAATTCACTTGTGTAAACTTGTGTTTCTATCTATAGAGAATATATAATAGTTTAAATATTGATCAACTTTTTTTTACTAAAAGTGAAGTGTAAATTCAGCTTAAACCTAACCCTAACCTAACGTTTAGCAACTATGAATGTACATGATGCTACGAGGACACAGCGCTTGGCTGTAGGATAAACTCTGCAAAATGGCTACGATGTTGACGAGCGGCAAAACATAGAGGGCAGCATAGTCAACGATCCCAGCGGTCAAACTGATCGACGAAACTAACGGTGACGGCAAACGTGCGCGAGTGGCGTCTGTAGGCGACCGTCTCTTTTCCCACTTGCAGACGAGCAGGCGGTACTTGTGAGCATACTGAATAACATCTTGGATACTAATGCCGGCAATGATGACTTGGCTGTCGAACTCGTGAGCGAGGACAAGAAACCATTAGGTACGTCTCACGCGGTGTTGGACGACGTCGTTGCCTACCTGTCGTGCGTGCTCGTGCGATGCGTGAAGACGATGTGTGGTGAGAAAGATGTGACACGAAGGGAAATCTTACCATGTCGTACTTATGGTATGAGCCGGATTACTTTATGCCTATTTAACAGATTAACTCTGAGGGTATGTTACTTGCTAGTATTGAGGTATAAGCATGGGTGATCGAGACTTGTAACATGGGTTTGTTGCAGCAATTCAAAATTTCTCAACGGTTAATAGTAATTATATATAAATGTACCCCACTAATGAGCAACTGGCTGAGATGAGTAATTATAATAACGTTTACGAATGTTTAATTTGCAACATGGCTAGCATGTGATCCGGTCGTGTTTTATTTTTATCCAGCGAAGAGCACTACCTCGCACAGTTCTGCCACGAAAACGGGGACGACACAAGAGTGTGAAGAAATCGAGCAGTAAGTCTGCGACGAAACCCACGACTGCCAAGACAAAAACTGCAAACGCGGCACCTTCGGGCCAGGAAGCCTGATGCACACAAGGCCGCGAGTGCTGAGACTTCAGCAAGTAATAGCAAGAAAAAAGCTGACACGTCTTGATGTACGTAAAAAAGCAAGTGTCGTCGTCTGCTAAAGCGAAGGAGAAAAAACCAAGTCAGCACGGCTAAAGATTGTGGTATGTAATGGTGATACACAAATGAGTAACTTGATCAATCATAACTGTGTGGATGTGTGTCGCACAGGGGTAGATATGAACTTTTGAACAAGGGAGTCCAACGGACTCCCTACCCTCAAAAAGAGGGAGTCCGCAGCAAAATGAGGGAGTCCGCAGCAAAATGAGGGAGTCCGCAGTCTGAAGTTCAAAACTAAAGATATTAACAATAACGCATGTGCTTATTTTGAAGATTCATGCGGTTGCACGTCTGCCAAAATGTCTTTGGACATTTGCTGAAAAAATACGGTCATTCCATGAGGCCGTGCTCTGGAACGAACTAGTTAGTAATAGTATAGCAAAATTTTCAGGGAGTCGCACGGTCTCTTGCACATGTTAAATCAGGGAGTCTGACAGAAAATCAAGGAGTATTTGACTCCGGACTCGCGTTAATTTCGCACCCTGGTGTGTATGTGTGTGTGTGTGGGTGGGGGGGGGGGTAATGTTGTGTTTTGATTTTTAAGTTGTACATAAAAATTTCAGCAATGTTATTTTGTCTTACAATTTTGCAATGTAATATAAGGAACTTTGTTATATCCGATACTATCATAAGAGATTAAGTAGAGATATCATGAGTTTAAAGGGAGAGTTTACTCTAGGTTCTAGGGTTATTTTCAGTTAATTTAGGTTAAAATTATGCTACATAAAACGTTGCATGGTTCAATCACCATTAGAAATATTATTAAAAAATGTTTTAAAACTAACTTCTACAGTTTGATTACAACGACGGTGGCGCCACTCAAAGCGCACGATCTGATAAGTTGCGCAAAACCACTTTCCAGCCAAGGGCTACAGACCGAGCGTGTTTCTTATTTATTCATTTAAAAGCAAAAGGATTGTAATATCTTACAAACGACATATAGTTTCAGTTATAATATGGATACGTTTGCCCTAAAATGAATATCGTTCGGTTAAATAGCATTTAGGTATAAATATAATTGCACTTGTAATTAGCCCTCGGTCTGTAACGTGCAAAATAAATGGTCAAATACGCAACTTTTTCGGGGTGGCAGCACGGTCGCGGGTGTCATGGCGCCGTTCAAATTTCGTAGCGTTGATGTGTAATTAATTATAACAATTAAATTAGGTATCTGGTAACAAATACGTGTGGGTATAGACGATTTGTTATACAGTAAGTACAGTTGTATGCAGTAAAATCCTAGAGGCTACTGTCCCTTTAAATTAGGTATCTGGTAACAAATACGTGTGGGTATAGACGATTTGTTATACAGTAAGTACAGTTGTATGCAGTAAAATCCTAGAGGCTACTGCCCCTTTAAGGCATGTGCATTAGGCTATTAGCGCTCGAGTCGGATGTGTGGAACGGTGCGGGGGTGTGTCGGCCTAGCGTAGGCAGAGCCAGATTCGTGGACTGTGTAAGTCATGGCGTGTACAGGCGGATGCTTCACGAACGTGTGCTGCTCCTGGTGCGTTAGACTCAGCTCCTCTAGTCGGAACGGGGTGTGGGCTGATGTGTGCAGGGAGCAGGTCAGCATAGCGTAGCTCTTACGTTAACGTACTCTTAACGTTAGTTAGTCTTGACATTAACCTTTTCTCATAGACCTGACCTCTATACACTGCATATGAGCAACTCCTTAATTTCAACGGTCTATGAGAAACCGTTTATGTTAAGTCTAATGTTAAGACTAATTTAGATTTTATTATTTCGCCCGACGTGTTCTGAGCTGCCTGCATGTGCATCACATTAATCTTAATTATTGGGGAGAGAATCGCTGATCAGTACTTCACGTCGTCATTGCCTCCAGGCGACCATTGATGCGCGTGTTCACTTGTTGACGCTTGTACACATGCCGTAATGCCTCGCATCTTTCTTTCTCTCCTGTTTGCCGATGTATCAAGCAGGACCCTACGGTAGCAGCTACATGGACCAGATGGGAGCCCCTCCCTTCGACAGGACGCCGTACGATCGACCTTTCCCATCGGAGTTCATACCAAGGAGTCCGAAAAAGCGAGCCGTGAGTGTCGTCTAGTTATAGTAGCAGTGTAGTAGCGGTGGTAATGGTCGGCGTGATGAGAAGTCCACTTGCGTCGTTTCTCGTGAGTGTAAATGGGCGGCGGTTTGTCTGGCTTGGAACCTGCTAAAGGGTGTATTGTAATACGGATCGTAATCAGTTGCTTCGTTCATGCCTTGTATATCGTATATGCCTCCAAATCTATATCTGCCATAACGAACAGTAAATCTGAATAATGACTGTGCTACCTAGAATTCAATACGTAAAGATTGAGAACTTGATTCTCTCACAATTTCTCTCGAACGAATTCTTCCCAAACTTTTGGTAAGCATCGTTCAAAAGCGTAGCTGGCAATTTATTTGGGAAGTCCTAACATATTCCGGTTATATCATTTATTTTTCTACTGAATTTAAGATGTCAACTCGCTGACTTGTCAGTTGGTCAGCACCTACAGGACCATCCTGGCCTCATCTACCCAGAGTTCTGGATAGAGAACACAATAACAATCACCGCTGATATAATTAATAGTTGGAAGGCCACCATACAGTAAGGTATATTTAGGAAAGGAAGGTTAGTAAAAGTATATAACTCATTTATCTGAAATTTTCCCCTAGGCTTTCATTTATCCACAATTTCACAAAACTGCTCTAGCTTTCTTAAAGTCCATTTTCAACCAAGTGCTGGCAATGTTCTGGTTGCGTGTTGTTTAACGTAGCTTATATATGTTAATTATTATATATATTAGTTATATTCAGATATTGAAATACACCACTATCTCTGGAGACTGATCATGGAAAATGATGAAGCAATATACATGGACGGACCTTAGGTAATTGGCTTTAACAAGAATTTTCTACTTCATAGTTATCTTACATGTGAACCATGCTTCATATAAATGCTGAGTACATTTTAATATCTGAATAAATCAGCAAGGGCATTCAGAGTAAAATATATGTAAACTTCAGCTAAACCAAGCAGATAGCTTTGCAGGTTCAAGTATGCGGTTAGTTGTATTTTCATTGTCTGCCAACCATAATGAAACAATGAAGTCACATTTATGTCTGTTTGAATGTTGCAGTTTTCGAAAGTCTACAACTTTCCCGAGCACAAGACTCGGCCAGTCTTGACGTGGAATACGCATGTTGAATTGTTCTTCATTCCACCATACTGCATTCAACGTGAGATTCATCTCAACTACCTTGATGATGACTCTAGTAAGACATTTTTCTTGACAAGTTATGGAAGACACGTGATATAATGCCGTTCAAAAACTTTCTGCACAAATCGTGGGGTATTTGAACAAGTGCCGCAGAGCGACAGCGCTCATCTAACGTCTACTGCGGTGACTCTGTGCAAATATCATATCATACAGCCTGCCGTCTCCTGAAAAGCTAGATCCGCCCTGAGAACTAGGCGTTGTAACATCCAACATGCCCTACAAGAAGCCTTACTTTGGTGCATCGATACCTCTTCTTTATTAGCTCACTGACATAGTCAGAATGCAGCTTGTAGAATCGCTTGATCGCCGTCGCCGTCACCGTCCGTGCGTCGCGTGCGTCCGTCCCACACAAAACCCCCCGTAAAACACGACCCCGCGTCAACCAGTTGGGCAAAGCCGAAACTCACAATCTTAATCCGCTCGACGTACGGTCAACGATATTACGGGCCCGCCCAATAACACAAAAACAATATTCGAAGCGAGAGACGCATCGATAACAAAACGAGCTTCGGCTCGATACGACACGCTAGGCGGGTCAAAATATACAAAAGTAAAAAAGAGTGTGTCAAAAGAACGCGGACAGAAAAAACACTCCTTAAGCCCTTAAGTTATAAGCGAGACGGAATGCATAATTGCGGCACAAATCTAACACCGCGACTCGCACCCCATTAGCCTCGAGTGACTCCAGTCGGCTATAATTCGCATAATCAACCCTTAGCACCCACCACAATGCCGCTAGAGAACAAGCCATCGACTCGTGACCTAAACACTTGGCAGGTCAAACAAAAACCACACCAAAAATAAACGAAAAAAAAAAAAACAAAAGAAGGTCAAAGGTTACAATGGGCACAAGCGGAGACCGAATTTTAGACCATATTTATGGGACATAGGTCTAGACGGAAGCGAATATTAGCAAAACTTTTTTGCTTTGCAAGCCGGTGACACTAAACAGCAATTTTTTCATCGGCTTTAAACTTGAAAAAGGACCATTAAAAATGTCGATTTCTGCTGACTATGCGACCAGAGTAAGTGTTCGGCATAACTCTATATTTGTACGAGCCATCAAAAGAGGAGGTGTAATAACATCGGATTTGTTGACTGTGACAAAGGAGTGAACTGCTTTGCTAATTAGAGCCGCCTCCCAAAATCAACCCTTCAGGAACCCTTTCCCCCTCCCCCACCCCCTCCCCCACCCCTTTCCCACCAATAGCCCTCCCCCCTACCCTCAACCCACCTCCCCCATAACCTCAGAGATGGAGGAGTTAAAAGCATGTGATTATGTTGAGCTGTCTGTTAGAAAAAACCTTTAGACTGCCAGGGTTTGCTAGTAGAATCTAATACATGCCTGGATGTGATGAGGCTACAATGTCACAGTGATAGAATATAATTTCCAACCAAGCTGAAAATTGTTAAAAAGGTGTATATTCGCTTAAATGCGTATAATTTCTATGTCATTTCTGCTATCTGTCAGTATGTTTACAATGTCACTGTATCGTCCACTGCCAGTGGCTGTGCATGTGTTTGGGGCACCGTTTTTGCCGTGCAGTTAAATTGGTTACAGGTGGAGCTCTCTATTCTGCAATTTGGCAGGGCCTTACCGGCTTTGCGTAGGTGAAAATGGATAGTGGCTTACTAGATTCTGTCTTGCAAATAGTTGTTTTGCTTACACGAATGATGGGAGCTTCCGATCTTTAATCTGAAGAAACTTAATACGTACACGGCCATCTGAACACAACAAACATCTTTTGAGGAAAGGTTCCTGGATACCTATCTCTGGCATTCCGACTATTTCGGCGTGATGCTGAACACATTATGGGACTAACGAGGTTAACTAGAATCGCCAACAGAACGTCCTACCAAAGCAGAGTCAGCGCGCAGTAGACGTTCAGATGAGGCGCATGTCGCTATCGGCACTTGTGTAGTTATAGGTTCGATACGTCAGACACGGCCGTTCTGTTTCGTGTAACTTTGTAGCAATTATTCATCGAAAAACGCATAGAAGCGCACTTAGCGATAGTTTTAAGCATAATGACGTTATAGCCTTCCTCCAGTATTTCGGACGGCCCCTTCACCCGTTGACCTTGTGGGAATCTAAGGATTTGCGTATAGGTGTGGCCATCCCACCTCCACTACAGTTACTCTCATTAATCATTTTGTGGAAGGCGTCGATACAGCTTTGCGAAATGTGAAAATGCTGTTACCGCTGTATGTAGAAGAATGGATGAATTTTAGTTGATAACTGTTGTTTGACACATGTAGTCAATCATATTCAGAGAGTCGTGACAAGTATGATTTTCAATACAACATGTAGTATCATTTATTTGATTATACTAACATCATACGTAACATAACCAACAAATCATAATACTGACGTCTGAATTCTTTGTAAGTACATTGACTGTTTGGTACCTAAAATCGATTAAGCAGATTAATGACGTGTGTTGACTGACCAGGTCGGGTATTCGGAGTCATCACGCACTGGAGCCATCTGCGACGTAGCCGAGGCAATGTGAGGCAGCGCGCGGCTGCCCACGCACTACAACGTGCATCCTCGCGACAAGCAGTACTGCCTGCGAGAGTCACACCTGACTTTGTATTCTCTACTTGCCATTGGAGGAGGAGGTGATAGACGGGAGGAGGGGAAGAGAGAGTTAAGGTGATCAGAAGGGAGTGAGAGAGGAGGCGAATATGAGGGAGGAGGAAGGAGCGAAGAAGGAATAGAGGTGAGGAGGTGATTAGAGGAAAGGCATAGGTGATCGAGGAGATTGAGGAGGGTCTCCCTTTCGCCTCCTCTCCTCCTGCCTCCTCACTCACGCCCGCTCCTCCCTCTCTCTTCGCCGGAGATAGGGAAGAGAGAGCGAGAGGAAGAGAGAGAAAGGCAAGAGACATACAATTAAGTGGACGTATATAACCTCTCCCAGGCAGGAGGATGAGGCGCAGCTAACTCAAGGTTGGAGACAGGGATCCACCAGCGCAGATCCTGCCAAGAGATAAGAATATAAGATGTAAATAAATATAATTAAATATACAAAAAATTTCCACGACTGTATATGAGATATATGTATGTGAGTTTCAGTGGATATAGTTAATGGCAGGAAAAATCAGCGACTCGACTCATCACATCTTTTTCTCCTCACATATATTAAAGTTGGAGCAGTTCCCGGCTGGGGTCCTTTGCTGCTAACCGAAGATGACAGTAATATATGCAAACCGATTACACTCACCATGGCTGCGAAAAAAAGAAACGGGTAGAAAGAACTGAAATGCAACACCACACACATGTGAAATGAACAAATAAAAACTAATTGCTACTGAATCAAAACATTCTAATGGACACCAGGGAGAATAATTTCCCGGTAGCATCTGACAATTCGGCGATGATATGTTTTTCAGCCATTTGCCTACATATTTTTGTTATTGAATCGCAAATTGTGCGATGACACGCCCCTAGCGAGATGTAAACGAAACTATACATGTTTACAATTTAACTTATTCTAATTCTCGGGTGCTTTGGCCCTGTCAATGTAAATGCCCACGTTCGACCGATTTATTGATTTTGTTAACCCAAGCGCCTAAAACGGTGACTTTTAAACAATCCTGGCACTCGCCCCCCCCCGTTACAATTCAATCATTATATGCCGCCTCCAGGCAGTGTATACACAGGCCCACGCTGTGCTGGCGCTGCGCGCTAATCTCACGAGCGGGCTGCTTTCTTTCGTCGACCTTTGATAATATAAAGTGAGAGATGTCCGTGGTCACGTGAGTCGCAAGATAGCGCGCCTTACACATCGCTAGAACTGTCACTTTCAGTCAGATTGTTTGGCACTATAAATACGTAAGGAACAACATTTGATTAATTAAGTTGGCTAGATCAATGTATTTTACTCAAGACAACATGGCCGAGTCAGCTTTAGCTTTTCACATCCGAACCCGGACCTGATATATTGTACACATCGACATTGGCGAAGCGATAGACAATACAGAGTGCCAACCCAGTCTTGCACGCTTGTTTAAAAACGCTGCGCGAAGCGTGCAATCGCTAAGTGTGTCACACTAGGCTTAAGCTAGCTGTGCCTGTCCACAGGCCGCGAACACGATAACCACGCCTA